AGGCTGGACAAGATTTACCTTGATTTTTCAAAATTGCAATAATCAAAAACGGTTTAAATGATAATTAAATTTCAAATGATAATACTAACCGCCAGGACATTTTGTCGTGGTTTACCGTGAAACCGGTAATCGTTTCATCCTACCGCGAGAGTGATTAGAAAATATACAGAGCCGTTTGCTCTCGTGATACTCTGATCTCATACACCGAACGGTCTGCACAGTGGCGCTTCAGTCATACACACCTGTAGCCTACGTCGTGGTTGAAAGTAAAAGAGTGACGGACGTTTGTTGCGTGTCTTTATTAAAATTAACACATTAATCCCACCCACCCACGACCCAATCACAATTAATTGGACTTAGAGATGCACCAATCAGGGCTGTACCCACCACTGAGGTCCCCGATGTCCGGACCTCAGTAATTAATGAAGGTTGTGAAATAATTGCCTAATATTAACTCTACTGTGCTGCAATGCTTCAGCGGACACCGCTTGTCAATGTCAAAATGTTTTGAGATGACCAATCAAATCAAAGTACACTCTCAAAAAATCAAGGTTATTCATTGGCATCGATGGTAGAACATTCCAAGGAATCTTTCCATTGTTCAAAAGGTTCTTTAGATTATTTAAATGTTCTTCACACTAAGAAAGGTTCTTTTGGGAACTTTGGTTGGAAAAAATGGTTCTTCTATGGCACCACTGCTAAAACAACCTTTTGGAACCCTTATTTTTAAGAGCGTAGGCCGGCTTTATTCCAAGAAGCTGCGACTGCGAGCGCGAATTCCAGCACGGAGCTTCACCTCACTGTCATCGGTCATAAAGTGCAAGATAAGATGCAAGTAGCTCAACTAAACAGCTGTTTTACGATAGAAGTTTTAAACGACCGACAGAAGTAATCAGTTTGCAAAGACTGTATCAATCAAATCTCAGCTTTGGGAAGGGAAGAGATTCAGTTCAAGATAAAGAGACTGTGAGAAGGTGATGGAGATGAGAGAGGAAGAGCAGGTTTTGCATTCTGTGCCCAGGATAAGATTAACATTATTACAATGCATTCCTATTTCACAGATATAATGTATGTTCTTTGCTAATTACAGTGGAAACTATAAGCTCAATTTAACAAACAAGCATCTATCTGTCAAGCAGATAACAGATTCTTAAACATGAGAATCAGTTTAAAAGCTGCAACGAATGATCCGCACTACAAAAAGGACATGCTGAATGTTTATGTTTATTGTTGACAATACACAATCACATATTCCAAACAGGAATGGCCTTAAATAAGAAATGTTTTTTTGCGTATTACGTGGGCGAGGATTATTTAAATGAGTAACATTGTGACTTCATAAGATCCGGAAAAATCGCGTTGTAGTTCAAACGACCCGTTCGTTGTAGTTCTTGGAAAGTTGATTCTCTTAAATGAAATATCTTCCTTTGGAGTGACTGAGCGTTGTAAATTTGCCGATTTTTTATATTCCCTAACAGCAACATTACACAATCGCTAAAGTTGAAAAAGTGGAAAAGCATAATAGGACCTCTTGCCAAAAAACAGCCAATGATCAGCCTCGTTTATATCCTGTCAATCAAAAGGGTGCGGAACAATGTGTCAGACTGCAACTCATATGCTTATAAAGAAAATCTCTTGAGATGAACTTAGGGCAAGTTAACATGACAATAACGCATAAAAAGTAAAAAAAAATAGCAACATAGCAACATAAAAGTAGGCTATTTGAGCCTTCAATCACCCATAGGTCAAGCCAGGGTTGCCAGGTCCACGGTTTTTCCCCACACCAAACATTTTTGTTGTGCGCCTCCCATACATTAATCGCAAAGAGTTTTGTGCTTAGTTACTTCTGCTAAGAAACAGTCTCATCTTTCAAATTATGTCCATTATCACAAAATTCAAACAATAAATGGCTTTTTGACACTCTTGTGTGACTTGACACATCGCTGTAGTGCCTCAGGTCAAACGGCAGCACAGAGTGTGAGTCTTTTCTTCCACTTCGATGCAAGTTATATTTCGAAAAACATGCATGAGTATCAGAAGGTATGCTGAAGGATACAGTCCAACTTACCAAAATCCATATTATGTCTCATTTAATCACTCAAAGTTTCAACTGCAGAAAAATATAAATAAAACAGCTTGTGAACAATGTCACTTATTGCATTTACCTCAGGAAAGTCATCCGATGTTCAGTTTGTTAGTTAGCTATAAAAAAGTTTGTTTGAATAAATTTGCCATGAAGTCAAGTGATTATGAAAACTACCTTATGTGCAATAAACATTTCAGGGTTTTTTTGTGTGCAATTATTATATCTGAAAATAAATAGCAGTTGAATAGAATACCTCTGTTGTGAATTGTATCCTCTAATATTATAGTGTAGCGAATGCGAGGATTAGTCTGCAGCATTACTTGGGACAGATTTTTTTTCCTTAAGAAAATGTTCAAACTATCGGTAGATATTCTGAATCATCGGCAATCGCTAGAGAAATTTAGTATCGGTGCATCTCTAATTGGAATGTTATTTTTTATTACTTGGCCCACCTGACTGGATTATTCGCGGTGTCTACGGATATAACCGCGATCCGCTTACTACTGTGCACATAATTTTTTCAAATTCATGTACCTCCTAATCTTCAATCAAAATAACTTTGCCTCCTCCTTGCAGTGACATCTCTTCTCTTCTCTGATGCGTTTACTGGCGCGAGGGCGGGACAACCTGTCACTCACATGAGATCGACCAATGGCAAACCCTCTGATCAATTCCGATTGGACAAAATCAATTCCCAGCCTACATTTTTTCTTGTTCAAGAAGCGGTTTCACTCGGATATACGTCACAGCAGGGAATTCAAGACTACAACAACTGTTTCATGCCAACTTTAAGAAGCTGATAGGCTGATGATTATTTTTTATGGCATAAAATGGCTGATATTACAATCCAAAATCATTTTATTGAAAATAATTTCAATTAAAAAACTTAGAATTTAAAATGATTTTTTCTTTTATGATTGAATTTTGGCATCACACAGCATTATAATGTACAGTATAAAAATGGATATTCATTTTGAGATTGCACTTAACAGTGTTAATAATTAAATTATTAGTGTTTATAGATTAAAGGCAAGCGAGTGTTAGATGACAGCAAAGGTAGCCTAACCTAAATGTAAAAATAGATCAATTGAGCATGCATGCATTGCACAATTAAATATTCAATATCAATCAATATAGATAAGAAAAGAATTCTCTAATATGAGCTGAAAACAGATAAATTGTGCATCTCATACTCATGGTTTGTTTCTCACCCCAAGTATTATATTTCAGCATGTAACTCAACAATTTGTACTTCAGAGATGAATGATACTTCAAATGACACTTTTTAAAGCAAAAAGTTATGATTTTCACCTGGCAGATGACAAAACTGCTGATAATCAGCCTAGTAACAGCCTAGCAACCATCCAAATCAGAAGAACAACTTGCTAAAAGCCACTCTGATAACCATAAAAGGCTGTAATGCTGCACATGTTCACTACAAATCTTATTTCAGCAATAACCCAGCATCAGATCCATATGGTATATGATCAACACACATCTATTACACAGATTGTAATATAATGATTGAACACAGAGGAATGATCTAACAACAATCTAATAACAATAATGATCAATTCATTAATTTCCCCTCCACTGTGATTCCAGTGAGGTTTAGAAACAGCAGCTGTTGAGAATGATCACAGGTCATGAGAGAGCAGGAGTGATGTGAGCTCAGGCTCCCTATAACAGATGCTCTCTCCTCACTGGCACAGACCTGCTGTTAAGGACCTCATTCAGTCTTTAGCACTCCTTAGTCCTGTGTCAAGTCACACAGTGTGTGTCTGTCTCGAAGTAAACTACAAACTGTAATCCCAAAGTTCAGTGGAAAGTATCTGTCTGATGCCAAAATGAGCAATGACAGTAGACTGTTGTTTATAAGTTACACACTACCCTCTTGTGGCTTGATGGCTTTTCTAAATTGATGAAGTTCAAATGGTGCACAGAAATCTTAAGGCATGTTGCATTTTAAAAGAACAAGTGTGTTTAAAGAAGGAATATTGTACAGATAAACCCATTTGACAAATAAAAATAAAGTGGTTCATCCTGGTCTGCTCTAAGCACAGATCTTAATCTAATCAGAAATCCAAAACCACAATACTTAAAACCCATATTAAACTCCTAAGGGAACACATGATGCATGCTCTTTTTTTAATGCAATATATATTTAATGCAGTAATTAATGGGGTTATTATTTAATATTTACATGAATTAGATGTAGATTTCAGACATCTTCAATTTTATTACAACCTATAGGTTAACTGAGTGAAATCATTCAATTTGATTTCACAGTGTTACTATTATGACATATCTTCAAATGAAAATATGCCTGTATACAAGTCATACAATAATATTTACTTTCAGATTTGCCTCTTTTACTGGGATTCTGCTGTTTGTCATTGGTTATTCAATTATTGTCCAAATAAAATTGTACATAGAATAGTGCATTTAGCATTTTACATTAAATGACACTTGAAAAATATATATAATATTAATAATTGTATCAAAAATTATGTAAAGTTTGGTATGTTAAAGGTTGGTCTTCTAACCCTTTTAATATTTTCTGCTACAACAACTAAATAAGCAAATGTTTCTATAATAACACATTTGCTGATGCATCATCTTCCTGCACATGCTAAACTTATATCTAAATATGTTAGTTTAAAAGTAGATCCACATTTGTTCTTAAGGGGGGCATCTTCCCCCATGTTACCCTACAGTATACACATGTACTGTGCACAGAATACAAATTTCCTGTATAGATTACTTTTAGACCCTCTTTGAATATACAGCTCTCTGCTGACACTATGTGGTGTCTCAGAATCACTGCATGAGCCCAAAGACAGTTACTGCAAATGACTAAGCAGTGAGTGTGAGTAGTAGAGAACATGTTTAGAACATTTAGACCAGTTTGTACCATGCAGCAGTCCAAACAGAGGACGGACGAAGAGCCCAGCAGACCAAACACCTCTCCACACAGCAGACACCGTGAAAGGCCGTTTCCCACTGCAGACCTCCTCATGTTCTCCAGGCGCTCCACTAGACCCCTGAAACACACACACTCATCTTTATTTAAAAGAACATAACTGACATATCTTTACATATCAACAGGTGTACACCTGCTGTCACTGTCAAATCTTTTGGTACTTTAAGACTGATATCCTAATTATTTGGGGTCCCAGAGTTTGGGGCCTATGTTGTATGCTGTTTTCTTTATATGTATAAATTAACTTATTTAATAGTGAAAAAGATGCATCATGGTTACCACAAAATGTCACACTTTAGATTAGGGTCAATTCTCACTATTAACTAACTATTAACTACGACTTTTGCCTCAAACTTAATTACTGCTTATTAGTAATTAGTAAGGTAGTTGTTAAGTTTATGTATTGAGTGGGATTAAGGGATGTAGAATATGGTCATGCAGAATAAGGCATCAATATGTGCTTTATAAGTACTAATAAACAGCCAATATCCTAGTAATAATAGTAGTTAAAAGTGAGCATTGAACCCTGAACTAAAGTGTTGCCCTATACAATATTAGGCAGTTTTCAACATTGATAATATGATATATTTCTTGATCAGTCTTAACACTGTTAAACTAATGACATAGTTGAAGAAACACTGAGGTGGGAGGTGTGCTAAAATAAATCTATTAACAACTTGCATCAAGGAACTCAAGCTTTGGCTGGAGGCAAACCACCTTAAATTTAACTCTGGTAATACGAATTGGCTCAAAATCTGTTGTGTCTAAACTATCTGGGGTGCGTTTCAAAAAGCATCATTAGCCAACAATGATTGCAAGTTCGGTCGTTATAAGCATAGTTCAATGAGTCCGTGTTTCCCGAAAACATAAGAACATTCGCAAACAGCATCGCAAATTAGTGTGGTTGGAACGACAGCTCTCAGTCTGTGGTTAGAAGCATAGTTTCTTGTTTGCATGACATGTGGACTCAAATCCTTATCTTGAGCCAAATGAGCAAGCTGACATTCACAATATGGATCTTTTATATAGAATACATACAAACAAATGTAATTTACGGCTTTGAGTTTGTCAAGAGATTTAAAGCACCGTTTTTGAAGACTGCGCATGTGCGTACGTGCTCTAGAACAGAAGAACGAGCCTATAATTGAATTTGGAAATAAAGCAAAAAATAACTGAGAAAAATTAGAAATAGTCCTCAGATGCCATGTCAGAAATTTAAAGCAAAACATCCAGCATTAATTCGATCTCAAACAGGATCATTAATAGAAGTTATGACTCCACCACGTGCGTGACATTCTTAACCAGCGTGGTTGAACGGCCACTTTGCGACAGTATGGTTTCGGGAAACAGTCGTGACTAGCTTGTTGATTTCTTCAACAATGCATCATACTATGGCAGTTAAGCAGCGAGTTACATTGTTGTACGGGAAACACACCCCTGGTCAACTGATTTGGATGGAGACTTGATAATGCCCTCTACCACAGTTCGAAGTCTTGGTGTTCTGCTTCGACTCCACTCTTCCATTTAAAGGTATAGCGGAGGATCTTTCCGAATTTTAGAGAAGACCCGCCCTCTCCAATTTTAAAAAAAATGCACATGCGCAACATGCATGCGGTGCATGACTTGTGCCAGGGCTAGCATCGCTAATCATAGCTTACATTAACTTTTACTAGCAGTGATTTTAAATGGATTTCTCCAAATAGCATGACAAACTTTACCTGTCTAATAGAATCTTCGCGACTGCGGCATCAGCGGGAAGCCCAACCTGTGCTTTTAGCGCCCGCCAGCGTGTGAAATATTCACCCAAAATCACTCTGGTCTTGTTTCTATATTCTGCGGGCCTTTCTCTTCTTATCATACACTTCGTATACATTTTTTCTCTTTCGACCCTCAGCCATTTTCAAAGGAATGGCTGAAACCGTAACTCATCACACATAATACACCTGAAAGTGCGCATGCGCAGAAAGCGAAAACTACATAGGGACGAGCACGTACGACGGCCTTACGTAAACATATCACCAGAATGATTGACACTTAGGTGGACCAATAGTATAGACTTCCCACCCGGAAAAAGAAAATCCTCCGCTATACCTTTAATGATCACATTGGGGAAGTGGCAAAGATAGCTTTTTTCAACCTACATAATCTTTCTCGTCTTCGCTCCTCTCTTAAGGCCCATGCACACTGATTCCGAAATTCACGTCCGAAATTTTCGCACGTTAAAAAATAAATACGACCTCACGTTATGTCAATCACGCTTGCACACTGCTTCTGAAACTTTCGTCCGTCGTAAAAAAAAAAAATCGGATCGGGTTCGATTTTCTGCATTTTTCGCATCCGTAGCAAGCAGTTTGAATGGTGTTTGAATGCTGTTTTGACAATTCAGAGCCACCGAATCACGAATACGAAGAAAAAAAGCATACGATAATTTCGGACTCAGTGTGCAAGGGCCTTTAGTCAGCAGGATGCTGAAACTGTTATGCCTTTGTCACATCTCATCTTGATTACCATTACAGTTTCCTTGCGTATAAACTTCAAGGTACTAATTCTCAATTACAAAGCTCTTCATAAGCTTTGGTCCTTCATATTTATCTGACTTACTTCAACTTTATGCTCCTGTTTGTTCCTTGAGATCTTCTAGTGTGGGATTGTTAGTCACTCCTAAGTTTAGTCTGGTCAATATGGGTGCCAGGTCTTTTAGTGTTGTGGCTTCTAGGTTGAATGTGGTTCCTCAAAACATCCATCAAACATCCTCCCTCTTAAAACATTTTTTTTTTCTCTCTGAATATTATTTTTCAGCTTTCGGTCTGTAAATTTTACCTTGTTATGGATATGTTATTTGTTTGAATTCCTCTATTTCCTAAGGTCCTGTTTGTATCCCGCTATTTGTTTTGAAGGGCGCTATATAAATAAAAATTATTATTATTATTATTAGAATGATTTCTGAAGGATCGTGTGACACTGAAGACTGAAGTAATGGCTGCAAAAAATTAGGCTTTGCAATCACAAGAATAAATTACATTTTAAAATCTATTCATATAGAAAAGTTATTTTAAATTGCAATACTAGTTCACAATTGTACTGTTTTACTGTTTTAAGTGACGTCTTTCAAAAACATTGATAAACCTCACAGACTCCAAACTTTGAAGAAAAAAAAGAAAGTATTATATACAGTATATATCTTAGGCCCTGTGAGACCTCAAACAGAAGTCATGTTTTTTGATGTGGCATTTTTAAAGAAAACTTTTTAAAACATGAAGCATAAATCTGGTTTATAATCAATTAGGGAAAGTAATTAAGCCAACCTGACAATATCAAATTTTTTTTTTTTGAGCTATTCATTTAAATCCCTTAAATTCAGAATTAACATCAAACATCAGGCTCAAAGTGTTTATCTGACTGGACACTGTGTGACAAGGCATGAAAAAGCACAAATGTGATGCAGAATGATAAAGTCTCACCCAATCCGATGTTGCTCAATGAGCTCGAGCTGCTCAGCGCGGTGGATGACACTCATGATGAGATCCAGCTCGGTTTTCTTAATTGTCTGAGCTTTCCTCTGTCTCTCTGACTGAAATGTGTGGATAGACCAACCTGTACGTAACCTGGGTGGAATCCAGTCACATACAAGAGAAAAGTCACACCAGAATCAGATCAGTGAGAAATGAATTGTTTTTATTATAATGCAAATATGTCACATTGAAAAGACTAGGGGTCGACCGATTATCGGCCCGGACGATTATCGGCGCCAATATTAAGCATTTTTATGGTTATTGGTATCTGCCATTTTCAAAACCGATTTGCCGATAAAATAATTTTATTTTGAAATGCGCTATATTTGGCTCTGACGCAGCCACCTTTGTCGGAACTCACCACTCTGTAGACTAGACTAATGTCCCCGCACATCTGATTTGTTGGGAGTCACGAGTCCGGCCAATCAGCGCGGAAAGCTGAGGCACTGAAAGTGTTGCACTCTCACACCGAGAGAGCACTCGCTGACTAGAGCTGCTTCACTGATCACGCTTCAGTTGTCTCTCAAAGTCAAGGCAGCAGCAGACTTTGCTGAAGAAGCAATAGATTACTACACTGAAATTGCAAAATACCTCAATATAATCAGTGGCGGCCTTAAGCATCTGGGGGCCCGTTTCAATAACTAATATGGGGCCCTACCCACATAAAACATAAACATAATAGAGCAGAAAAAGCTAGGATTCCTGTTGGTTTCCATCAATGGTATATTATTTTATTACGTGCACTTTCAGCTTCATGAACAGGCAGCTGAACATAGAAATAATCCAACCTTATTTGATTAAAACTATACAATTATACAGCGTTTTACGTTGGAATAAGCCTCGCCCTTTCACGCAGGGTAACTTCACTTTTGGTAGACTGAATATCAAGCTTTTCTTTTGTTGTCTGATATCTTTCGTTTTTTAGCACCACTGGCATATGTACGTTTCATTTCCTCTTAAAATTATTTTTCTGCTCAAAATAACATTTTAACCTAACGGCAAAAAGGCAAAGGTGTAAATACATAAACTACCGATATTATGCTTCAGATCGCTAAAGCCGTTCGCGGGAGTGGTAAACGTCGCCATGGTAACCGCGAGTTCGACCAATCAGAGACGTCAGTGTTTTGCAAATAACAAGGTTGATTTCGTAGCTTGTGGCTTTTAAAGGAGCAGAAACTTTCATTTCACAACCTCGTAGCTCGTGGTCAATCTACCTTGAATGGTTTAGACATTATGGCTGAAAATCAATATCCTACGGAGAAAATGAATGGGATTTTGCTGGTCTGTTAAGGCCCCCTTGGAGGGCGGGGCCCGTTTCAATTGAAACGGGTGAAACATAGGTAAGGCCGCCCCTGAATATAATAGAGCCCTGTGATTTCCGCGATGCAGAACAGACGGAGTCTCGGAATCCAGTCATAAAAACGGAATTTACAGTATAAAGCGGAATATCACGGAATTTGTCAACTTTTTGATGAATTAATAAAAATAGGTCAGTACAAATCAAACCGCAAAAAGACTATTTAAATATGAATCCTGCGTGTCTCTAACGTTAAATGAATGGCGCAGAGACGCGTGATTTCAGTTACCACACACACACACTGGAGCACGCGTGACGCTTGCGCTGTTTTCAGCCTCAGCCGCATCATTATATGAGGACATGATTGCATAAACATCATCTCCAGAGCCGCTTAGTCACTTCATGAGCTTTTTAATGCTTCAACTGAGAAAAGTTATCGACATATCATAAACACACAGAAACTCAAAGATCTCCACGGCAACCCGTCAAAATAAAAGTTCGGTTTTTCACAAGGCCCTAAAAATTTAATTTTTGTTAAACTGTAAATAAATTGAATAAGTTTGATTTTAATTGATTAGAAATGCTTTTTGATTACTAAAATTTTATTTAAAAACTAAAATAGTCTTTAAAGGGACACTGTGTAGGTTTTTAGGTATTTTATTATCTGAAATCAATATTTTTATTCTTAAATATGTCCTCAATGGTGTACAAATACCTCTGCAAATTATCTGACTTATCCTCGTAAATTAAGAATTTATTATCTTTATGTACATGGGACGGGTAGGTTCACGGAGGCTTCCATGTCGTTCCGCCATCTTGAAAAACTATAATAGCAGAGAGGGTCAAAAAGTACCAACCAAACGCGTTTCCACAACGCGTTTTCGTTCAGAGCCAGCGTCATGTAACTGAAAGCAGCAGAACCGGAGGAGCAGAGCTGAGAGGCGCTGGTCACTGCCCCGGCAAGTTTAAAAGGCTGCATTGCTTCTCTTCTCTGCCTTGGAAACTTTCAATTCTATCAAGATCGTCTCTTGTAGCTGCCGCGGGCATCTTTGTCGTCGTGGTATTGACTCTCGCTCTCCTCCTCTTCCTCGTCGTCCACCTCTACTAGACGACAGCGCCGGGTGATTCTGTCAGCAGTAAATAGGCTACTTTTAAAATAATGTAACTCACGTTTGAATGCCTTTTGTTTGTGATCCGATGTGGATTCTGATCACCATATAAGGTAGAAATATTTATACGCGAGTAAAAGACTATATTGCACGCTAACCATTAACGTTACCATAGTAAACAAAATAAACGCTTGAAGATACGCATAGTAAAAAAAACATAGTGAACGTTTGAAGAAATCAGACCAATCATAAAGGTTATCACAATAATGTTTTTATTTTATCTGTCAGATAGCCTACGTCTCGTCTCTTTATACCGGACTATCATAAAATAAAGCACATTTTTTTTCCCGGGAGCTTCCTCTGTTTCTCTGACTGAAAATATCTGTAACGTTAGCCTACTGGGAGTCGAGAGAGTGCTAAAGCTCCTCAGGTCGTATTATTGGTGGCATATATTTGTAGAAATTATCATTCTTTTTAAATGTGATATATGTCCTGTTACTACCAAATAAACAGAAACAGACGCGATTGAAGTAAGTGTGTCCTATTTCTTTTGTGAAACCTAACGGTAATTTATTTCTGTGTGACTAATGTGCAATTTTGACATACATTAATTCATGATCAATGTATCGCCTTTTATTGTAGACCTGGTAAAACATCGATGCTTGGGTTTTAAATAGTCAAGTAAACAACAAAAATGCCAGCAAACGGTCGCTTTTATCATATTTGTTTTGCAATGCTGTTTCCATTTCTTTCTGATTAGTTTTCTGATAACACGGGCGTGTTTTATTGAAGCACCGCGGAGCTTCTGGCCTGACAGTGGAAACGTTCTTCTGATCCACTGCCTCTCTGTCCTCTCCCTCTACTGTTGAATCATCTGATGATGATGATGATGATGATGATATCTAATCTAACAATGCACGTACTTAAGAAAATATAACGAATAAATAAGCATAAATACTAATTACAATGGTTCATGTTTTTCACAGTCAGTAATTCATACTGTAAAGTTGCAGTTTGTTTGAAATAACAAACCTGTTCACCCAAAGGAAAACTCGACGAAGTGCTATTAGAAGACGTCCTGTCAATAGCTTTTTGGTACATAACGGCTACCGTAGATGCAATACACATTTGAAAAAGCGAGGCGCTGGAGAGCACAATTCGTTTGAATGCAAAATACAATTTCACCGCTAGATGGGAGTAATTCCTACACAATGTCCCTTTAAGTTTCACAAAATGTTTACAGAATGCTGCTGGGTGCTCCCTGCACTTTTTACAAGTTATTATTATTAATAACAGGTCTCAGATTCAAAGATATGTTTAAAATCATTTAAAGAAAGTATTTGTCAAAACCCTTTGTTATTCTTAATTTTGACATTAATTTACAGTTTTACACCAGACATAGCTATAATATATATATATATATATATATATATATATATATATATATATATATATATCGGTTATCGGTCTATTTGACCTGTAATAATCGGTATCGGCCCAGAAAATCACATATCGGTCGACCCCTAGAAAAGACTTGTCTATTTCAACACACATTACATTGGGTGGTTTGTCAAATGACATGCTGAAATACAATTTGCACAACAGAATAAAAAATAAAACACCTTACTTTGCTCTAAGCGTTAGTTGTCTGTCATTGGGACAGACCCACTGCTCATTCTCACTGCCAAACATGGTGTCTGTCATGTTTCACTGTAGAGCTGTAATAGAGCAGAATGACAAGTCTAAAATCATAAAATAATCAGGTATTTTATAGAGTAATAGGTTTGAGAATGTAATTGTATAGGTGAATGAAATAGCATTCACCTTCAACATCACAGCCGTTCATTGGCTTTGACAGGTATTGTCTGTTGGTTGTGATAGAGCTAACATTCAATTATGTAAAAGTGGGAGGACGCGGCTCAATTATTGGATTATTCGTCTCACAACACCTGCCAAATGAGTTTCAGAGACCAAACACAAAGACATAGCCTATTGTGCTGTCTGTCTAACATAAGAGTCCCTTAAATGGAATAATATTGTATACGTACTGCATATACATTTAATAAATAATTGATGAGTTACATGCAAGTTAAATAAATAGTAGTGTTACGGAAACAATCCCCACAATAAAAATAGTACATTGAAATTATTACAATTATTTATAAATTGATATAAAATGTATTATTATAGAAATTATTATTAAGATGCCTTAAATCACAGGCAAATGATGGGGACATCATTTACTGTTGACACTGCATTCATAAACGTTCTGCATCACCACTCATCCGCTGTAACTGTATTATGCATTCATTTAAGTTAAAGCATCTACCTAACCTGACATTCTCTCATTCCCTTCCTTTCTAACACACACACACACACACACACACACACACAGAGAGAGAGAGAGAGAGAGAGAGAGATACAATCTACCCCTTTATGGTTAACCAGGGCAAGTCTGTTTACTTTTCCATGAGGAGAACTGCTGCTCGGCACAGATGACAACAACTCCAAAAAACTACTTTGTTACACTAGAACACTTCACAGTATAGTGTTTCCTCTCAAACCAACACCTGTAATTCCAGAGAGAGAAAACCTGAAAACTGCAAACCCTGGTATTTCCTTGAAGGAGTAGAAATATCAAACATGCCCTTTTCTTATAACAACCTCCAAGTTACACGTTGTAGAAAATCGCTGACTGATATCCAGTAGGATATCAAAGGAAAAACACACACCTCTAACTATTACATTAACTACAGGTCTCTGACTCCAGGCAAGGCACCTTTTTTAAAGATGTCAACATTCAGGTATCTATTCAAGTCCAATCCACTCAAATGCTGATAGAAAACAGGCACAGACAATCAAGAAAGAGTGTTTACCTTAAAAGAGGTCAGACAAAGTGGCGTTACTGCGGGCTTTGTCTCGGCTTAAGAAAGTGAGAGTAGAGGAAACAAGGCAGCGGAGGAGGAGGAGGAGGAAACTCCTGATTACACTGATCTCAGATCGGGTTCGCTGCGTCTCTTGCAATGGGTCAGGTCACATGACCAGAGCACATTTCATCCAAAACATCCTGCTCCTCCACTGATTACAGTGATTGAATAAAGAAACAAAAGAGTGACGGTGATGAAGCCAAGCGGAGACAGGCCACCAAGGTGCTAGAGGCTAAAGGCTTTACTATTGACCTGGCCTTTAGAAATCAGTCAATATAAATCACAGTAATCTCATTCGCTTGGTCCGCTGAGGCACTAAATCGTTTAGAATAGCATATTAAAGGACGACTTCATTGTAAAACTTTTTGTGGAAAACAAAGTATCAGTGGTGGTCATGCATGGTAGATCAACAGTTGCAAAGACCTCATACAAACATTATGAAAAGTGTCTGATGCCCTCAGCTAGCTAGTACCTACAGAGCCGAGTTAAGGCTGCTCTAACTGTGCCTGCTCAGAATTCTGTGTAAAGACGGATAAAAGCCAGACTAAACTATGCCTGCTCAGACCCACCTAGCCCCAAAGTATACAGTTGTAATCGCTGTGTAAACCCATTTATGCTACCTCAGAGCAACATTTTAACTTAGTCTGATGCCAAATTTACATTGCAAAGGTGGCACAGAAGCACTTCTGAAGTGGCATTTAGGTGTGTTTACACAGACTGTAATAATGATGCTCGGAGGTGGCATGAATGCATTTATACAGTGATTACGGCTGTATGCTTTGATTCTAGGGGCTAAGCTGGGTCAGAGCAGGCATAATTCATTATGCGGCTTTACATTGAATTTAGAGCAGGCACAGAGCAGTCTATTTGTCGGAGTAAAGATGCCTTGAGTAAAGGCTTCTGTGTCGCCTTTGCAGTGTAAAGAAAACATTTAATTTTCTCTCAAAGCATCTTCACACAGCTGAGTTTAGGCTGCTCCGTGCCTGCTCAAAATTCTGTGTAAAGACACAACGCAGCATGAAAGCCAGACTAAATTATTCCCCTTGTTGTACATTTACACTGCAAAGCACAGAAGTGCTTGAGGCAATTTTGTACACAGAATCAAAGGTGGCATAAATGCATTTACAAAGCAATTTTAACTGCATATTGTTATACAAGGGGCTTAGGTACAATTTAGTCTGGCTTTTATGCTGAAGCTTGAGCAGGCACTGAGCAGCCTTAACTCAGCTGGCTTTGTATAACAATATGGAGGTAAAATTGGTGTGTAGATGTATTTAATCCACCTCGGAGTGTGTAAAGACACATAATTGCCACTTCAGAAGAGCTTCTGTGACACATTTGCGGTGTAAATTTGCCATCTGATGCACCATTTAACTTTGGTTTTATTAGTTTGTTCGAATTATTTCAGGAATTCAGTCAATAAAAAATAAGCCAATAAAACTATTTGCACACTTAGCCACTCTTGTAAATGTAATGTCATTGCCCAAAAATAAAACAAAATTAAAGCTGCTAGCAGCATTTAGCGGTGTTCAAGCAGTTAAGGCCTTTAAGGCCGTTAAGCACAAAAGCATCAAAAGACATTAAGTTTTATGTAGCAAGCATGATTTACCATGATATACTACATTTCAGTGTGATTTTTCATGATTTACCATGTTCCAGTATGATTTACCATGAATCTAACATGATTTTCCATAGTTTACCTTGATATACCATGTTATATGATGATTTACCATGATATAGCACATTCTAGAATAATTTACCAGGATTCTAGCATGATTTACCTTTTTTACTATGATTTACCATGTTTCTGGCATTATTTACCATGATTTACCACGTTGATAGCAATTATATGAAGCATAAGAACAATTTAAGTGATAAACTCTGACAAAATATGAATGTGTTATAATAGTAATTGTTATATAAGTGATTTTATAGTGTCTATATACAAAAAAAGACTATTAATAAGAAGAGTGGCCAGCAGAGGGCAGTAGAAGACCACTTATTGGCTCACTTTCATTTTCAACTACTTTGTTTCTCCAGTATTCTCCACTGAAGCAAACCATTTTTTTCATGTTAACTCCATAATGCATGCTTACACACACATACACACACACACACACACATTTTTGGGATATGTTATTGTGAAAATCAGTTTTAATGGTATATGAGCATTTCACATATTTCTTTGCAATGTAATAATATAAAACTAATTAAAGAAAATGCTTTAAGCATTTGTTTGTTAGCCAATGCTGAAAGCTGATAAAAAAAGATTAAAAATGTCTAATGCTGCTGCTCCATCTAGTGGACAACAGTGCTATTACAGCCTACTTATACAATAGGCCATGTTTTTCATATAATTTAATCTACACACGCTCATTCTGATGTAGATAGAGACATTTGGAACTTCAGGATCCAATGTGACTCAATTGTCACTTCAATAGATGATTTTTGACTAAATGTTATTGTAATGCCTCGTTTCCACTGAGTGGTACGGTACGGTTCAGTACGGTACGGTTCGGGTCGGGTCGCTAAACCATGATCGGGGCTCGCGTTTCCACTGCCAACAGTACCCTACTTGATAGGCGTGGTGTATGCCGGAAAGTAGTGATAACGTCACTTGATAGGCGTGGTGGATGACGGAAAGTCGCTTGACGTCATTCACGCGCGAAGAAGAAAGCTGAAACCGCAAACAACAATGGAGGACATACAGCAGATCGTGTTCTTGCTTCTCGGCATGTGGCTGTTTGTCACAAGGACACGACAAGCTTTGTTTGAACAAAGGCTGCAGGCTGCAAGGAAAAACACAGCCGAAAAATACAGGGGAATTCGGGAAATGTTAAGGAGCTGGGACGAGACAGACAACCGCGCAAGTGAAGACAAGGCAAGACAAAAACGACGGCGCAGGAGGGTAAGCTTGAGCCAAGCTAACGTTAAATGTTTTTATGTCGTATATTACAATGTATTTCGTTTCATGTACTGTAATCCGTTAACTAAGCAATATTCTTATAAATCAAGTAACCCTCCAGTACGAATAAATAAGGCCAATAAGCCCTGCCTGCGAAACCAGGCCTATTGGCCTTTAAACTGTGAAAACAGTAAACTACATTATATTAATAAGCACTGTGAAGGTTACATCTTAAAATCATAAATCTCTCTCATGAATCTGTATGAAATCTATATTATTACAAGTGCAATACTAGTTGTGGTTAATGACTGATTATATGTAAATTTTGCCAAAATAGTTATATCTGCAAGCTATTTTTTCTTTGTGCTTCAATGACACCACAGTGCTATTCTCTGGTCCAGTATATTGGATATTGTATAAAATGCATATATTTTATTTTGTCCAAGGTAACACTTTCAATGTTGTAATTTCCCAAATACTTTATGTATTGTTTCATCTGGCCTATGATAGTTGCACTAATAATTAAAGGACCTGAACACACCCACCATCACTGCTACATTGTATTAACATTTTGTTTGCTTTGTGTTTTTCTAGATAATCAATCTGGTGCAAAATCGGCGCTGCAGACCAACCATTTGGACTTTCAGCCGCTCAAATGACTGGTGGGATGTGATCGTTCCAGGATTCACACACACACAGTGGGTCCACAACTTCAGGATGTCTGAAGAAACATTTCTGTCCCTTTGTGCCATGGTGCATCCAGCAATGGATAAGCAGGACACGAACTTCAGAGTGTGTGTTCCCCTTAAGAAAAGAGTTGCCATAGCACTATGGAAGCTGGCAACCAACAGCGACTACAGAAGTATTGGCCATCTTTTTGGAGTCAGCAAAACAACAGTGTGTCGGTGCGTCCAGGAGTTCTGCATGGCCACTTGCACATTGTTAGTTCCAGAACAGATATGTTTTCCTGACCGGCAGAAGCTTAAAGAGATGGCAGCCTACTTTGAGAACCGATTTGGGCTTCCGCAGTGTGTGGGTGCCATTGATGGGTCACACATACCCATAATAGCCCCAAAGGAGTACCACTGCGATTACTTCAACAGAAAAGGCTGGCATTCCATCATCCTGCAAGGAGTAGTTGACGGAAAAGGACTATTTTGGAATGTATATGCAGGAATGGCTGGAAGTTTGCATGATGCTCGGGTTCTGAGACTGTCCACATTGTGGGAGTTAGTCGAGCGTGGAAGCCTTTACCCAGCTTGCACCAGGAACATCAGTGGGGTGAATGCTGGCTATTATGTGCTAGGAGACTCTGCCTATCCTTTGCAGAATTGGCTCCTAAAACCATTCCCTGACAATGGCCGGCTGACAGCAGAACAACTGACCTACAACAAGAAAGTGTGCAGGGCTCGGGTGGTTGTAGAAAATGCTTTTGGAAGACTCAAAGGGAGGTGGCGGTGCCTTTTGAAGAGGAATGACAGCGACATTGAACTGGTAAAATCCATGGTGTTGACTTGTTGTGTTCTGCACAATCTTTGTGAAAGACATGGAGAGGATTACCAGCACGAATGGGATACAGCTGTTGCTGCAGAGCCTGTGGTGCCACTGGCACAGGGTGCCGAGGAGGAGGGCAGGGATGTACGTGAGGGTCTGATGCGGTTTTTGAACAGTTAAATCTGTTGTACAGTTATCAAAGGAGCACCTGTGTAAATGCTAGATTGTTTTGTTTACATGTTTTGATTTTTATGGACCCAAATAAATCGGTTACATTTACCCTGCCTCTTCATATTTTGTAAAAGAGAGAACTTATTACTCTCTGCAATACCCATGTAGAAGAATTAATTCATATTTTGTTTGCAATGCGTTAATTTTAAAATCATATTTGAGTACAGAGTGAAATATTTGAAGATTAGCTATTGTAAAGTAACACATTACCAACTATTTTGTATTTAAGGCAAGCATAATCTCCCAAATCAACATTATCATTAACAAAAGGTATCGTTGACACCAGATGACAGGAACGTTAATAAAATGACATTTATAAAATTAAATTTATAGCAGGGTTTTGCTCCTGAAAGACCCCCAAGACACAAGGTTATGAAAAAGTACTTTAATTTGAAAAATCAAACAA